GGTGGAGAGAGAAGGGGGAATTGTCATTGGTCTTGCTGGTGTACTTCTTCTTCTTCTTCTTCTTCTTCTTCTTCTTCTTCTTCTTCTTCTTCTTCTTCTTCTTCTTCTTCTTCTTCTTTACCTCTCCTCTGGTCTTTATCTCTTTGCAAGTGCTTTCATTTCTTTCGCAATTGGGTGGCATTGTCTTTCATTGTGAATTTGCACTTGGGAATTGACCAGGATCGTAACAGAACATAAAATCTGGCCTTTTTTTTTTTTTTTTTTTTTTYTTYTTTTGCCGACGCATCATCGTTTGTCGAAATCGTAGTCTCATCCATACCGGGGAGGAAACCCAACTGGTGCACAAAAGGACAGCTGCTTGGTCAAATTAATGCCGGATGGATCGCGTACTCATGGCCTGAAAGTGCAGTCTTCTTTTTAAATTATTTATACGGCCTCTCTGAAAAGGAAATTCATTACATTCAAGAATTTTTTTAACTTTTGATTCTTTTCTTAATTATTATGGTTTACCCCTTAATGTAAGCTAAATTATTTGTACGATTAACCATTGTTAATCAACAGTCTTCTTTGGAGTGGATTTAATAAGCACTAAGGAAGGGGGAAGGACTTTCCGACTCATCATCCGTATCTGAGGATGACTGTGTTGTCAGTATGGGAAGAGAGGCAGATATACCAGATCTCCTATATAGTGCTATACCCCACTGATTCCTTTCACTGACAGCGATAATCAGACCCAATATGAGGGTCTAAGTTACAGTTAGTTTGTCGTACCTTTCCCCTCAGATAGCAGAGCACAGAATCTGGTTCAAGTGGACATGGCCCAAGGTACATCTCATCAGATGGACACTGAGGACCCAAACGGGCCCCTGGGACAGGGTGGCATGTTTGACCTGCAGCAGACTCTGAATCAATGCTGCAAGATCGGTATTCTACCTCGTAATCTAAAGATGGGAAATGCATCTGAGGAGGACGAAGATGAAGACACGCTGGAAATGGACGTGGACGAGGAAGTAGACCAACACACTGTTCAATGGTTGAAAGATCACACTGTGGTCATCTCTTTTGTTCCTCAGGACGAGGATCCTATCCCACTCAACCTCAAAAGACAGTTGATTAGGGTCTTCGAGGCTGCGTGGGTGAAGGATAATAACAGCGCCACTGTAATGCAGAGAGGTACCCTGAGAAACGACGGAGCCAATATGATTTCTTATGTCCCGCCGAAAGAGGAAATTGTCGAATTCCTAATAAAAAAAGGATCAGCAAAAATTCCACTCTTAGACGAAGGAACAGAGTACTGCGAGGGCACTGCCTCTATGAGCCCCATAAGGCCCCATTTTTGCAGCCCGTCGGCCGCCCTAAGTGAAGGCAGGCTCGAAGAGGCCCTCAGGGCCCTTTTCTGGCCACCATGCAACTCAGGGAAATTCAGGCAGCTGCGCAGCGCCAATTGGTTGAGTGAACCCAGGCCCTGGGCCGCCTGTGTGAATGTATGTGAAGCAGGCCCTGGGCTGGATACGGGTACCAGGCCAAACACAGGCCAAAGGCAGTTGGGCACATGCAACCACCTCAGGCCGAAGGCCTGTTCACGTAGTGCTGGGCCTCAGGCTACCAGGGCCTACTGGAAGCTTCCTGGGACTGGACGCAGGCAGGCCACTTGGATATAGCAAAGGGCCTGCCTCCTCATTCAGCATTCGGGTGCTGGCTGCATGCTGTGCAAGCGGTGCTGCGCTATTTGCTGGCTGGCACCTACGCTCTCACGGGCGAGCAGGGAAGGAGCACGCAGCCATAGCCGAGCTGCGCTGCTGTAAGCTGGGTGAGGCGCAGGGTGGTCCTTGGCTGCTAGTGGCATCTGTGAGTTGGGGAACGAGGTTGTGAGTGTAGCGCGAGACATACCTGCTGCTGGAAGCGTGCGACATTGGTCGCCATATGCTCGTACTTCGGGAATGCTGTTGACGTCATCTTTTGGCTTCGTAGTACAGGCTAGATAGGATCTGCCACATGTAGTCTGGGCGCCGAGCGCCAGATAGGATATCAACTCTGGGTCTTCGTTGATGATGATGGGACTATTTCAGCATTGTCAATTATGAACTCTTGGTGTGTTCTTATTTGGTGAATCTCGTGATGCAATTCTGCTGTTGGTTTGAGGTCACGACTATCTGGACTCATATGTATGATGCTGTTTGATTGCTGAAGTTCGCTATTTCTCATCTTCCTTGCAATTTCGTATCGGAGCTGTGGTACGATTGCGCTCATCTGGCGCTTGTCGTCTGCCTTATGCGGTACATACATGCGGTCTGCTGGGTGAGTTTGGCCGTAAGTGGTGTGTAGTGAGGAGGGTGGAGACGAGTGTTTAGGCGACCCGAGAGGTGAGGGGATCGCCAGGAAGGCTACGTGGGTTGTAATGTGGTCTGGACAGTGTGATGAGAACTATCTAATGTGCGATTGATGCTGAGGTGGACCGGCGAGATAATGCTGGTTGTGCCGATGCAGTGACTGGTCATCGCAATCGCCATCAGGTCATCTGGTGAGATTATCTTTGTGGTTGGGGGCAGCTATTTGAGGTATGTTGCTCTTAACCTTATCTACCCTCTCCGACACTTCTTACCGTGAGGTTGTGTTCCTTCTTGAGAGTCCTCTCATTGTGAGGTGTCGAGTGTGCTCAACCTTGAGAGTCGGCAATGTTCACGTGGAGCATCTGGGAGAAGATGGGCGGAGCTTTCTGAAGGGCCCTGGACGAAGCACTGGGTCACGGTCACCATGCCAACCCACAGGGAGTAGAGCACGCATGCCTTGCTGCTTGTCCTTTGTTCAGCTTGCTGCGCTGTTAGATGGGTACTGTTAGGCAGGCCAGCCCTTAAGGGAGACGAGATCGGGCGTCTTTAAATAAGCACCGGAAGGGGAACCATTGGATGTGATCGTCGTCCGGCTGCGACGTAAAAGAATTCCAGGAGTCACTTGGGGGCGGACGT